AGGATTGCTTGAATCTTGGAGTTAAAGATCAGGTTGGGCAACAAAGGGAGACCTTTTCTCTACAAAAATAAAAATAACAAACAGGGTGTAGGTAGCTTATGCTGGTCAGGAGGATGAATTGGGAAGACAAGTATTTATCTTGCTCCATGCCACTTCCAGTATTAGTACCATCAGATTTTTTCCTTTTGTCCAAAACAATGGATATGTGGATGCCACGATATGGCTTTAAAGTTAAACTATTGTTTAATGGAAAATTAGAATAAAGAACATTATATAACATAAATTTATAGTTTGTAAGTACTTAGAAACTATAAATATTGAGCTTAAGCCCAGGAGTTTGAGGCTACAGTGAGTAATGATTGCATCACTGCCCTTCAGCATGGTCTGTCTCTAAAATAACTTTTAAAAAATTACTTGCTAGACAAGTGTTGTGATAGCTCAGAATGCTGACTTGTCCTTCCTGGGCCATTGTTTTCTATATTGGAGGGGGCTCTAAGCTGGCCTTGCGCTCACTTGAGTGTGACCTCAAGCTTAATCTCTCCGGCATCCATCCATGGTTACTAAATAAAAAACTCTCTATAAACACAAGAGCCCTTTATCATCTCTTCAGGGTTGTGAAGAGCATGTCCTTGTAACTTAAAAAAACACTGCATTAGTAAAATGTCATTTTTAGGTAAGAAAAAGAACCATATATTCGTATCCAAGTCACGGCACCAAAAAAAAATTAATTAAAAAAGAAAAAGAATCATATATACTTGGAAGAGAAAGTTTCTTTTTCCATCTCTTGCCTCATCCCTTTTTGTATAAGGGGTCTCTAGTGGATATTTGTTTTTGTTGTCCAATATCCATCTCTCCTCCTGAAAGGCACTGCAGTTTTTATGTGCGGGAATCACTCTTCTTTCACTTTCAGAACATGAAATGTGGGGAGGTCACCCAAGCCTAAGTCTATTAATGCTTTTTGACCCTTTCGGCGCAGTGATTTTTCAAGAATGGGTCTGTGATTCAGACCCAGACTGGGGCCTCTGGAAGAGTGTAAATCCTTTGACCCATAGGGGAGTAACCCACACAGATGTGTGCTCTGTGGGTGCAAGAGAGGACACTGTGTAGAATATGAGAAAAGGGCCAGCCCTGGAGGCAACTGAACGTTAACATCAGCCAGAAACTAGGTTCTTGATGACCTCTCTGAGAGCCACTGAATCAAGCCTTGCCTGAACCTGGATTTTTCCATAATTTCAGTTAATAAATTCACTTTATAGTTGAAGCCAGCTGGAGTTAGGTTTTCTGTCATTGGCAGCATAATAAAGTACTGAGTCTTTGGTAAAAGAATTTTGTTGGTATATGAGTGCTTCAAAATCAGTAGAAGAACACACCATAGTTATGCTGTGAGAGGCAGTCAATAGCAAAGGAGAACTTTATTTCGCTTTGTAAATATATTATTCTGAAGACCCTGAAAGATCTGAAGTTTCCTCCAGGTATGCCCGGGATCTTGATGGTCTAACATAGCCCTCTTAGTGATGGGACCTGGTGAGGGAGGCAGAAGTGTTGAAAGTTGGCTTAAGCGGGGTCCAGCGGCTCACACCTATAATCCCAGCACTTTGGGAGGCTGAGATGGGCAGATCCCTTGATCCCAGGAGTTCAAGATCAGTTTGGGCAACATAGTGAGATTCCCATCTCTACAAAAAAAATAGAAATAAATTAGCTAGGGCCAGGGATGGTGGCTCATGCGTGTAATTCCAGCACTTTGGGAGGCTGAGGCCGGCATATCACTTGAGCTCAGGAGTTTGAGACAAGATTGACTGACAACATGGTGAAACCCCATGTTTAAAAACAAACAAAAAATCAGTCAGACATGATGACACATGCCTGTAGTCCCAGCTACCCAGGAGGCTGAGGTGGGAGAACCACTTGAGCCTGGCAAGCAGAGGCTGCAGAAAACTGTGATTGTGTCATTGCACTTCAGCCTGGGTGACAGAGTGAGACACTGTCCCAAATAAAAAAATTAGAAAAAGCATGTTAATTTAACACAAATGACAGGACTTAAGACCACAAAAATAAAAGTGCTTCCATTTGAGGTATGGCCCATGAGCTGATGGGTGATTTAATGAAGAATGTAAATAAATGTTTTGTATCTTTTCCTGGGTCCCATGTATGTTCATGATGTTCGTGGTTTTCCAGGAGCGAAAGCTTTTTTTCTGGTTATGTACCCATGGGATGTACTGATATTAACAAGGAGTTACATGTTTGTGTATATGTAGGGGTATATAGAAAAACATCTGAAAGGTCAGGCATGGTGGCTGACACCTGTAATCCCAGCACTTTGGGAGGCTGAGGCGGGCGGATCACCCTAGGTCAGGAGTTAGAGACCAGCCTGACCAACATGGTGAAACCCTGTCTCGAATAAATGCAAAAAATTAGTCAGGCATGGTGGTGCATGCCTGTAATCCCAGCTACTTGGGAAGCTGAGGTAGGAGAATCACTTGAACTCGGAGGTGGAGGTTGCAGTGAGCCGAGATCACACCACTGCACTGCAGCCTACGCAACAAGAGGGAAAACTCCGTCTCAAAAAAAAAAAAAAATATATATATATATATATATCCGTCTGAAAAAGGATTCATTATGTTGAAAGTGGCTATTTCAAGGTACTGGGATTATGGCATTTGTTTTATTTATTTCTTCTTTAATTCGTAGTTTTCAAAATTTTCTACAGTTAATGTGATTTATATAATTTTTTAAAAAGGTTTTTAAAGTACTACATAAACACACAAGGTGACAATACTCTGCATGGGAAGTCATGTGGCTAGTTACAATCTGGAAGTCAGAACAACTAGCTCACAATTGCTTAATTTAACCTCTTACTTTTTTTTTTTTTTTTTTTTTAAAGACAGGTTTTCACCATGTTGGCCAGACTGGTCTCGAACTTCTGACCTCAGATGATCCACCCACCTCGGCCTCCCAAAGTGCTGGGATTACAGGTGTGAGCCACCGCGTCCAGCCTCCTTTAACTTTTTAACTATTTAAATGTAGTATCTAAAGTTTTGAAGAAAATAAAAAAGAAATAAAAGTTAAATCAACATTAAAATGTTCAGAACCAGCCTCCTACACACAGAAAATAAGAAAAGGTTAAAGTAGATCTCTAGGCTGGCATGGTGGCATCCTGGCCAATATGGTGAAACCCCGTCTCTACTAAAAATACAAAAAAATTAGCCAGGCGTAGTGGCATGCGCCTGTGGTCCCAGCTACTGGAGAGGCTGAGGTGGAAGAATCTCTTGAACCCAAGAGGCGGAGGTTGCAGTGAGCCGAGATTGCGCCACTGCACTCCAGCCTGGTGACAGAGCAAGACTCCATTTCAAAAAAAAAAAGTAGATAAGTAGATCTCTAGCCCCCTTCATATCTAGACTTCAATGAACTAATAAATTGTTAATGTTTTATAAAGGTGGTCTCAGTAGCAATTCTAGAAATAAGCAGAAAACAGAGTAGTAAAAACAAAACACAGCCGGGCACGGTGGCTCATGCCTGTAATCACAGCACTTTGGGAGGCCGAGGTGAGTGGATCACCTCAGGTCAGGAGTTCGAGACCAGCCTGGCCAACATGGTGAAACCCCATGTTTTTAGTCTTTACTAAAAATACAAAGTTAGCTGGGAGTGGTGGCGGGTGCCTGTAGTCCCAGCTACTCGGGAGGCTGAGACAGGAGAATTGCTTGAACCTGGGAGGCAGAGGTTGCAGTGAGCCAAGATCACACCGCTGCACTGACAAAGCGAGACTCCATCTCAAAACAAAAACAAACAAAACACAGAAACTGAGGGCTGATGCTTTTAAGAGCCTTGCCCAAGTTCATGCTGCTAATAATCATAACCCTTGACCCCATGTTTAATCTGTTCTACCTTACACTTGAATATGGGCATTTGCTGGTTGTTATTAGTTATGTGGGAAGACAAACATTAATTTAATGAAACAGAATTTACAGTGGAAAAAATCTGACAGGGGACTTACATACTCATTCTAAATCACCAATCATGTGCCTTTCAGCAAATCAATTTTCTGAAGTCTCAGATTCCTTGTCTATAAAATGAGAAACTTAATTATGATATCTTGAGTAACTGCCACTCTGCGATGCTATGGGAAGTACACACGCTGAACAAGTTGGATATTTATATGAAATGCCATTTGTTTATATTGAACAAGTTGGATATATATACCAAATACATTTAATGGCATAAATGTGAATGACAAAGAAACTCAGGAAGGCAGGACATAGAGGAAGGCCACTGGCTTTTCAGAAACCACTAGTCTGTGAGCTCGCTTCCCTTTTATAAAAAAAAAAAAAACCTTTGGCTTTTAAGGTGTCCAGATGAAAGTCACACTCCCAGAGCTGAGCCTATGCGAGTCTGACGTGTCACCTCAGTAATGGGAATGTGGCTGGAACTCAACTCTCTCTGATAATTCATGCCCAAAGCCTCTTGGGATAGGAGAGAGGGGACACCTCATCTGCATGAGATGAAATAGGATACCAAGATCCCCTTAATTCCACTCAGAGTAGTGGAAAGGAAGTGTTGCCGAGAGAAACATGTTTTTTCTAAGTTGAAGAGTTGGAATGTTTGAAGGTTAAAGTCAGAATATTAGGACAGAGAGCCATACATATATTATCTAATACAAGTTGCTCAGTTTATAAATTACATAAATGAGGACACTGAGACCCAGCAAGGTTATAGAATACAACCTAATCTAAGTTAGAAGAAGGATGAGGGCCAGGTGCGGTGGCTCATGCCTGTAATCCCAGCATTTTGGGAGGGTGGGTGGATCACTGAGGTTGGGAGTTCAAGACCAGCCTGACCAACATGGAGAAACCCCATCTCTACTAAAAATACAAAATTAGCTGGACGTGGTGGTGCATGCCTGTAATCCCAGCTACTTAGGAGGCTGAGGCAGGAGAATCGCTTGAACCCGGGAGGCAGAGGTTGCGATGAGCCAAGATTGCGCCATTGTACTCCAGCCTGGGCAACAAGAGTGAAACTCCGTCTCAAAAAAAAAAAAAAGAAGAAGAAGAAGGATGAGAGTTAGGCTCACGATGGGAGTTACAATGTTCTCTAAATGTGAGGATAAGGAACATGCCATTCACTGTCGTGTTCCACCTCCTAGTCCAGTGCCTGGTGCAAAGTGGGGGCTTCATAAACATTGGTCACAGACCTGATAGTGGGGCTAATCTGAGTGAGTGAATGCATGGATAGTGCCTCTGTAGTTTGTGTTCCCTGCTAATCAGATGAACTCATACACATTTCATTCCAGGGCTGTCTCATCTGAGATATTATGTTAGAGAGTTCTCTCTACGTGCCATGACCGAGTAGTGTTTTCTTCCTCTGAAGTATTACTTCCTCTTTGTTGGTATCACAGGACAAACATCAGAACACTTACAGGATGTGTGTAGTGTGGCATGATAGAGAACTTGGGTTTCCTTTAATGTGACTGTAGACCTGGCAGTGTTAATATAAGAATCATTAATCAGACACCCTAGACACCCTGGTGTGCTGAGCTAGCACTCAGTGGGTGTGGCCACCACTCATGTGACTGTGGAGTAACAGTTGGAAGAAGTGCCCAGTTCATTTGGAGAGTTAAAACTGCACCTATTCAGCTGTATCTTTAAATTTTAAAAAAGAAAAAGAAAAAAAAACTGCACCTAACAGAGCTGTCCTGACTTTTCTTCTACAAGCCCCATGTTTTCACATCTTCCTTTTGACTGTGTCCTCCTGCTGCTGCTGCTGCTACTTACAAGTAAGTCTGGGCATGGTTATTGACAGTGAGATAATGGTGCTGTCCAGAGGACAAGGGAGAGATACAAGGATGGCCATTGTAATGTTATTTGCAATGGCAAAGGTTTGGATGCAACCTAAATGTCCATCAGTGAGTGAGTGGGTAAATAAATGTGATATAATTGTGATACAAACAGTGAGGCTGACTAAACACACTGGTATAGAATGTCTCAAAGTTATAATGTTGTTTAAAAAAAGAAAGAAAGGTGCAGAATAATGCGTATATTAGGCTTCTATTTGTGTGTGCACATTATTGGGGAGCAGGAATATGTGGACATTTCTTAATGTATAGGCTCTAGGAAAAGAAACCAGGGAATGGTAAAGAGTTGGGAGAGTGAGGCATATTTTTCTTTCTTCTTTTTTTTTTTTTTTTGAGATGGAGTCTCACTCTATCACTCAGGCTGGAGTGCAGTGGCGCAATCTCGGCTCACTGTAATCTCTGCCTCCCGGGTTCAAGCGATTCTCCTGCCTCAGGCACCCGAGTAGCTGGGATTACAGGCACGCACCACTATGCCTTACTAATATTTTAAATTTTTAGTAGAGACGGGGTTTTATCATGTTGGCCGGGCTGGTCTCGAACTCCTGGCCTTAAGTGATCTGCCTCTCTCAGCCTCCCAAAGTGCTGGGATTACAGGCATGACCTACCACGCCAGGCAACTTTTTCATACACCTTCGATAGTGTTTGAATGTTTTTTTTTTTTGAGATGGAGTCTCTCTCTGTTGTCCAGGCTGGAGTACAGTGGTGCCAACTCAGCTCACTGCAAACTTTGCCTCCCAGGTTCAAGCAATTCTCCTGCCTCAGCCTCCTGAGTAGCTGGGATTACAGGTGCCCACGACCACGCCTGGCTAATTTTTTATATTTTTAGTAGAGACGGGATTTCACTATGTTAGCCAGGATGGTCTCGATCTCTTGACCTCATGATCCACCCGCCTTGGTCCCAAAGTGCTGTGATTACAGGTCGGCGTGTTTGAATGTTTTTACTGTAGTTGAGTCTTATGAAAACCAAGGGGAAAGAAAAAAATTAAAATATATAATGTATGTTTTATCGTATGTAAAATATGTATATATAGTTTTTTTTTTTTTTTTTAAGGAATTAACTTTGTCAGTTGAGGAAAATGATAAGACAAGTCTCAATCATTTTAGATTTATTTGCCAAAGTTAAGGAGGCACTTGGGAGACAGGTCTATGCCTTTCTCAGAAGACGATTTTGAGTGCTCCAAATTTAAAGGGGACAAGGTGGAATATTGAGAAGCACTCAGTTTTCACATAAAGAAAGAGGGCAGAGGAAAAATGTGGGAAATCTGCATTTTCTATAAGATAGCACAGACAAAATAGAGTAGGGGAACAGTCAGATATGGCCGAAGTGGCCTGTAAAGATAAGCTATCAGCTTGCATTGCACAGCTGACCAGGAATTTCCTTGTGTGCAAAGTATGGGGGGAGGCCTGTAGCCTTTCATCTTGTAGCCACCTTATTTAGGAATCAAAAGGAGGAGGCCCGTTTCCATGACCCCCTCCCCAGCTTGATGTTTTCCTCTGGCTAAATGAGTTTGGAGTCCGCAGTACCAAAATTTAATTTCTTACCACAACTTCAAACCTTAAAACAACTCCGTGAGTAGTTTCAAAGATACAAGATTCATATTTAACCAAGGGTTTTTATTTACTGTGCACTTGCTGCTTAAAAAGAGATTTATGGGGCCGGGTGTGCTGGCTCATGCCTAATCCAAGCACTTTGGAGGCCAAGGTGGGCGGATCACCTGAGGTCGGGAGTTCAAGACCAGCCTGACCAACATGGTGAAACCCCGTCTTAAAAATAAATAAATAAAATAAAATAAAAAATAGAAAAGAGATTTATGTTAGGAGAGCCTCCCTTTGTTGATGAACAAACAAGTAGCCCAGATGGATGGGCCATTTCCTGGCTGACCATGACCCATTTTCTGATTGTCTGTTTCCATCAGCTCTGTTCTCCTGTGCTCACAGAATTGGGCCGTAGTTCTCTCCTAGAGCAGTGTTTCTGAAAGTGAGGTTCTAGGACCAGCCACTTCAGCAACACTTGAGAACTTGTTAGAAATAGAAGTTCTCAGGCTCCTCCACAGACTAGCCGAGTTATGAACTCTAGTAGTTGAGCCCAGCAATCTGTGTTTTCGCCAGGCTTCCCAGTGATTCTGATGGCCTTCACGTGAATCATCCTCCAGACAGGACTGCAGTAGTGGCTTCCTCTTTATTCTATAAGAGCATTGCTTGCAGTTTTCCTGAAATTGAGTAACCTCACTGACTGCCTGAGCCTTAGCTCTCCTTCTCTCTGTATTCAGGGTCTTCGGAAGAGGAATACATAGTGGAGGTGGGTCAGAATGCCTATCTGCCCTGCTTCTACACTCTGGACACTCCAGGGAACCTCGTGCCTGTATGCTGGGGCAAAGGAGCCTGTCCTGTGTTTGAGTGTGGCAACGTGGTGCTCAGGACTGATGAAAGGGATGTGAGTTATCGGATATCCAGCAGATACTGGCTAACGGGGGATTTCCACAAAGGAAATGTAACCCTGGCCATAGACAATGTGACTCTAGAAGACACTGGAATCTACTGCTGCCGGATCCAAATCCCAAGCATAATGAATGATAAGAAATTTAACCTGAAGTTGGTCATCAAACCAGGTGAGTGGACCTTTGCATGCCTTCTTTATGAATAAGATTTATCTGTGGATGATATTAAAGGTACTGATTGTTCTCACCTCTGACCTCCCTAATTATAGCCCTGAAGGTGGGACCCCTAAACCTAAAGTTTAACAGGCGCCATCAGTGATGCTCAGTGATATTTAACACCTTCCATCTGTTTTAAAACTCATGGGTGGCTGGGCGCAGTGGCCCACACCTGTAATCCCAGCACTTTGGGAGGCTGAAGCGGGCAGATCACGAGGTCAGCAGTTCAAGACCATCCTGGCCAACATGGGGAAACCCCATCTCTACTAAAAATACAAAAATTAGCTGGATGTGGTGGCATGTGCCTATAGTCTCAGCTACTTGGGAGGGGTACATTTCATTCATGGAAATCCCCCTTTAGTAGTTCAAGGAGAATTGTTTGAACCTGGGAGGCAGAGATTGCAGTAAGCCAAGATTGCGTCCCTGCACTTCAGCCTGGCACAGAGTGAGACTCTCAAAACAAAAACAAAGACAAAAGTAATGGGTGTGGCTGGGCACGGTGGCTCATGCCTGTAATACCAGAAATTTGGGAGGCCAAGGCAGGCAGATCATGAAGTCAGAATTTCAAGACCAGCCTGGCCTACATAGTGATACCCTGTGTCTACTAAAAATACAAAAAATTAGCTGGGTGTGGTGGTGGGCACCTGTAATTCCACTCAGGAGGCTGAGGCAGGAGAATCACTTGAACCTGGGAGGCAGAGGTTGCAGTGAGCCAAGAGGACGCCGCCATTGCAGTCCAGCCAGGGTGATAAGAGTGAATCTCCATCTTAAAAAAAAAAAAAAAAGACAAAAAAGCCTCATGGGTGAAATTTTAGATGGGAAAAAAGGCCTCGATCAGTGGTTAGAGACCATGACTGCTCATTAGAATCACGTGAAGAGTTTTTAAACAGCTATAGATGCCAGGTATGGTGGCTCATGCCTGTAATCCCAACACTTTGAAAGGCTGAGGCAGGAGGATCACTCGAGGCCAGGAGTTTGAGACCAGCCTGGCCACTATAGTTTGACTACCCATCTCTTAAAAAGAAGAAGAAGAGGCCGGGCGCGGTGGCTCAAGCCTGTAATCCCAGCACTTTGGGAGGCCGAGGCGGGTGGATCACGAGGTCAAGAGATCGAGACCATCCTGGTCAACATGGTGAAACCCCGTCTTTACTAAAAATACAAAAAATTAGCTGGGCATGGTGGCGCGTGCCTGTAATCCCAGCTACTCAGGAGGCTGAGGCAGGAGAATTGCCTGAACCCAGGAGGCGGAGGTTGTGGTGAGCCGAGATCGCACCATTGCACTCCAGCCTGGGTAACAAGAGTGAAACTACGTCTCAAAAAAAAAAAAAAAAAAAAGAAGAAGAAAAAAAAAAAGCCACTACCAAAAACCAGAGAAATCAGCATCTCTGGAGGTAGATCCTAAGCATTAGCTTTTTACAGAGTCTATCCCAGGCGATTCTACCCCACGTGCAGCCAGCATGGTGAACCGCTGGGTTGTGCATATATGCTGGGAGGGGAACAGACTTGTGTGTGTTTTAAGATTTCTGTAACATCTACTTTGTGCCCAGAGAGAGCTGAGTTTAAATCTGACTCTGCCTCTTACTTGTTATATAGTCCTGGGTAAGTTATTGAAATGATGTGACCTCCTTCTCTGTAAAATATAACAATAATAGCTATCATGTGGGCCATTAGAAGGATTTTATGTGGTAATAGTTTATGAAAAGCATTTATAGGTTGGGCATCTCAAATCTGAAAATCTAAAATCTGAAATGCTCCGAAATCTGAAATGCTGTAAACTCCAAAACTTTTTGGACACTGACATGACATTCAAAGGAAATGCTCATTGGAGCATTCTGCTCATTGGAGTATAAGTATAGTGTAGATACTAAAACATCCAAAAAATGGCTGGGCGCGGTGGCCTCACACCTGTAATCTCAGCACTTTGGGAGGCCAATGTGGATGGATCACCTTAGGTCGGGAGTTTGAGACCAGCCTGACCAACATGGAGAAACCCCATCTCTACTAAAAAGTACAAAATTAACCAGGTGTGGTGGTGCACGCCTGTAGTCCCAGCTACTCGGGAGGCTGAGGCAGGAGAATTCCTTGAACCCAAGAGGCAGAGGTTGTGGTGAGATGAGATTACGCCATTGAACTCCAGCCTGGGCAATAAGAGCGAAACTCCGTCTAAAAAAAAAAAAAAAAACCTCAAAATCAGAATGTAACCATGATGACTGAATCTTACCTTTGTCAAACATTTGAAGTGTATGAAACATTCTCAGTGTAGGTATCCAAGCAGGTTTGAAAACTGAGGTTGTATCTCTCTTTCTTCCTTGTCTTTCACATTTTTTTCCTGCTGCCCCTTTGATTCCCCGAAATAAGCTTTCTGCTCTCAGATAATTTTCATCTTTATGTTGGTTTGTGACATTAGCCAAGGTCACCGCTGCACCGACTCTGCCAGGAGACTCCACTGCAGCCTTTCCAAGGATGCTTACCACCAAGGATCATGGCCCAGGTAACTATGCATGGGGCGGAGGAGGAAATCTTTAGCCAGCTCTGAATTCAGAGGATTTTGAATGTGGGAAAAAAGATGAGAAAACAGTGTGAGAGTGGAGGCAGGGATGTTTCTGTGCACCTGAAACAGTATGTGAGAAGAGGGGAGTGGTGGAGACACCCCCGTGCTGGGAAAAAGATGCTCTGGATTAGGATTACTTAAAATTTTAATTTTAAAAAATGTTAATAAACTTTATAGTCTTTTATTTTACTTAAATATTAACTAAATTTAATGAAATAGTCATTACAGTGTCTGCATTTTCTGATATACTCTGTACTGGTGATGTTTCATCATGAATTGGTGCCAGTGTGTGTTTGGGAACTGATAGGTTAGATTAGGTGATTTCTAGGATGCCTTCTAGCTAGAATAAAGCCTATCAGCTTCCCTGGATTTTAACTTCAGAAGGTGTAGCTAAATTCTTTATGTAATTCAGCAAGGACATACCCAGGGTGCTCCAGAAGAGAACACTGGGCAGAAAGCAGAAGTCAGGTCACAACCATCATGGAGGTTCATTTAAAGTGATTTCCCGTCAGTGTCCTGGTCTCGCCTAAACTCTCTGGAGCTCCATTTTTTTTTTTTTTTAATCTCCTGTAGAATGAGGTTAATAGGTGAGTCCCACCTCATAATATCATAAATCTCATAAATCACACCTTATGAGATTTTTATTTTTATTTTATTTTTATTTTTTTGAGACGGAGTTGTGCTCTTGTTACCCAGGCTGGAGTGCAATGGTGCAACCTCGGCCGACCGCAACCTCCGCCTCCTGGGTTCAAGTGATTCTCCTGCCTCAGCCTCCCGAGTAGCTGGGACTACAGGCATGCGCCACCATGCCCAGCTAATTTTTGTATTTTTAGAGACAGGGTTTCACCATGTTGACCAGGATCCTCTTGATCTCCTGACCTCATGATCCACTGGCCTCGGCCTCCCAAAGTGCTGGGATTATAGGTGTGAGCCACCGCACCTGGCCACCTTATGAGATTTAAATAAGAAAATGTCCAAAACGTTTAGCCTAATGTCTGACCACAATGTGTACTCAGTACATGTTAGCTGTTGTTGTTAATATCGTAAGATCAGGAGGCGGAATGAGACTGTGGTTAAAGTACTTCAGGGACAGATGGAATGGGTTCTAATTTCAGCTCTTCTTGCTAGCTCTGTGACCTAAGTCAAATTGCTCAAATTCTCTGAAGCTCAGTTTCCTCATTTCTACAATGAGGAGAATTCCACTGCCCGTGTCGTGAGGTTGTTGTAATGTACAAATGGGATAATGTATGTAAAATGCTCAGCATAATACCTGACCCGTAGAAAGCACTCAGATGTTTGTTATTACTACAGTTACTAGTTTTAGCTCTCCAAAGGTTCAGTCTCTAGTTATTCTTTAGTAATTGTTAGCCAACATCTCTTAGGCAATTAGAGAGAAAATTAAATATGGTGGGGACAGATGATAACCACATTGTGGACTAATCAAGTCATATCAGATAGTTATTGTATACCATTGTTATATGTATGTGTGTGTATATATATATATATATATATATATTTTTTTTTTTTTTTCTTTGAGACAGAATCTTGCTCTGTCGCCTAAGCTGGAGTGCAGTGGTGTGACCTCGGCTCACTTCAACTTCTGCCTCCTGGGTTCAAGTGGGTCTCTTGCCTCAGCCTCCTGAGTAGCTGGGACTACAGGCGTCCACCACCATACCTGGCTATTTTTTTGTATTTTTATTAGAGACGGGGTTTCACCTTGTTAGCCAGTGTGGTCTTGAACTCATGACCTCAGGCAATCCATCTGCCTCCGCTTCCCAAAGTGCTGGGATTATAGGCGTGAGCCACTGTGCCAGGCTGCCATTGTTATATTTTAAAGAATCCTACAACCATAGACCTAGAAGGGACTTCAAGGGTCATTTAATCTCACTTTCCCATCCTGTGCTTCAGTACTTTTTACCACATCACCACTGAGTGGGCATTTGCTATAGAAGGAGTTCACTCCCTGTCAAGGTGATGCATTTCCTTATACTTATCTCCACCACAGACAGATATCTTCTTCCCTTTAATTTTTCTTTTTTTGTGTGTGAGACAGAGTCTTACTCTGTCACCCAGGCTGGAGTGCAGTGGTGTGATCTCGGCTCACTGCAACCTCCGCCTTCTGGGTTCAAGCAGTTCTCCTGCCTCAGCCTCCCGAGTAGCTGAGATTACAGACTCCCGCCGTCATGCCCAGCTAATTTTTGTATTTTTAGTAGAAACGGGGTTTCACCACATTGGCCAGGCTGATCTCAAACTTCTGACCTCAGGTGATCTGCCTGCAGGTGATCTGCTCCCAAACTGCTGGGATTATAGGCATGAGCCACCATACCCAGCTTTCCCTTTAGCTTTTGCTGTTAGTTCTTTCCCTCTAGGGCAACAAAAATGGGAATATAGGCACAATACCTTGAATCTCTGAGCTTCTCAAGGGCCTGAGAAAATATATTGAAACAACCAAAAGTAGGGCAGTACTCCAAAATAGGAAAATAAAATAAAAAATTGAAATCAATGAATATTTAATGGCTTGTCTACAATATGCAACATTTTTTTTTTCTTTTTTTTAATAATATGTAACATGTAAATTGGCTGCTGGCAAACCAACTCTAAATGTGGGATGTGGGAGCATTTAATATAAAAATGAGGCTGGGTGCAGTGGCTCACACCTGTAATCCCAGCACAATGGGAGGCCAAAGCAGGCAGATCACTTGAGCTCAGGCATTTGAAACCAGCCTGGGCAACGTGGCAAAACCCCATCTCTACTAAGAATACAAAAAATTAGACGGGGCACAATGGCTCATGCCTGTAATTCCAGCACTTTTGGAGGTCGAGGCAGGCAGATCACCTGAGGTAGGAGTTCAAGACCAGCCTGGTCAACATGGTGAAACACCATCTCTACTAAAAGCACAAAAATTAGCTGGGCATTGTGGTTCGTGCCTGTAATTCCAGCTACTAGGGAGGTTGAGGCAGGAGAATCGTCTGAGCCTGGGAGGTGGAGGTTGCAGTGAGCCAAGATGTCACCGTTGTACTCAAGCCTGGACAACAGAGAGACACTGTCTGAAAAAAAAAAAAAAAAGCTAGGCATGGTGGCATGTGCCTGTAGTCCCAGCTACTTGGTGGGGGTCTGAGGCAGGAGGATTTCTTGAACCCAGGAGGTTGAGGATTCACTGAGCTGAGATGGTGCCACTATCCTCCAAGCCTGAGCAACAGAGCAAGACTCTTTCTCAGAGTGGGGAGAAAAAATGGAATGGAGCCTTTAAAAATAAGAGATCCAAGGGCTTGGAATTTGAACACAGAACAAATGCACCTTCTCTTTTACCTGAAGGAGGAAGGACTGGGTCACAAGTGAAGCCTCAGCTCTGCTATAGACCTGCTTTAAATCCTAGCCTTCCCAGTTAATAGCTGTGTGATCTTGGGTAAAGTGGCTCTCTCAGAGTCAGTATCTTTATCTGAAAAACGGGAAAAATAGGAGTACCTACTTATTTTGGTGAGGATTAAATGAGATTCTATGTGTACAGTGCTGAGCACCATGTCTGGCACATAATAAGTACCGAATAAATGGTAACTACTAAATTTATTTATTTTTTATTTTTTTTTCTTTAATTTTGGTAACTACTAAATTTATACACTGTTAAGGCTGTCATATCTCACTTCCACTGCTACCTGCCCACCCCCAACCCCCACCCCCACCCAGGCAAATCTTGGGTTCTCCAGAAAGAACATTGCCACTCCCTCCAACTGTCCCATCCATCTTAGTTCGTGGCCAAATCTGTGTGAAAAAAAAGCTGTAATGACACAACCATGCTTGATTTTAATGATCATTTTCATAGCAAAATGTAGTTGAAAAAAGTTTTACCATTTTTATCAAGAAAAATAATCATAGGGAAGCTGAAACTGGATTTACATTTGAAAATCTTATGTGCAGTTTGGATTCATGTTTACTTAGCAGTTGTATTGATGTGGTTTTATGCTTTAAATTTTTTTCTGGTAATTAGGGCAAAGTAAGTGGAACATCTTTCTTTCTTCAATAATATTAGGCTGAGGGTATGCCTTTATAATATTTAAATTATAGTTTGTTAAACCAGCATTTAGTCAAACCCTTTTTTTTTTCTTTTTTTTTTTTTTTCAAACGGGGTTTCACCATGTTGGTCAGGCTGGTCTTGAACTCCCGACCTCAGGCGATCCACCCGCATTGGCCTCCAAAGTGCTTGGATTACAGGCATGAGCCACCACGCCCGGCCTAGTCAAACCCTTTATACACAGGAAAGGGTTTAGACTTTTAGGCTTCCAGAAGGTGACATTTAGTGTGACATTTAGGCTTCTGTGACATTTGAGGATTTTCGACATCTCTGACTCAGCCAAAAAAATGAGTAAGCATGCTTAGTCTCCCTAAAGCTGGCAATGTACTTATTTTTAGAATTCAGGGTTCATGAGGTCAGGGCCTGTGCCCCTCCTGTTCCCTGCTCTGTCCCCTGTACCTAGAGCAAAGGCGTAGTCCATATTCATAGAAAGGATGAGCAGATGAAGAAATAAATGAACAGAAAGGAAAGATGGTGAGCAGGTGGCTGGGCAGTGTGACCCTCTTCATGATGACAGCACTGAGGTAAAGCCTGTTGAAGGCAGTATAATTAAGAATGTGCGTTTAAAGCTATGCCGACCTAAATTGGAAGGCCATTTTGTCATTTGCTAAGTTGTGTGACCTTGGGTTGGTCACTTCACTTCCCTAATTTTAATTTCTTCATCTGTGCAATGGGACTAACAGTCCCTACTTTAGAAGAATGGTTTTGAATGAGATACTTCACTAAAAGAATTTAGCACAAGGCCTGGCTCCTATTACATTGTGGCCAAGGTGATTATTTTCATTTGTAGGCAACCAGATATCCTGTCTCCCTTCTAATGAGTAAATGCAAAGCTTATTTAAGGAAATGGAGGCCAGGTACGGCATGGTGGCTCATGCCTGTAATCCCAGCATTTTGGAAGGCCGAGGAGAGTGGATTACTTGAGGTCAAGAGTTTGAGACCAGCTTGGCCAACATGGCAAAACCTGTGTCTACTGAAATACAAAAATTAGCTGGGTATGGTGGTGTGCCTCTGTAGTCCCAGAAACTTGGGAGGCTAAGACAGGAGAATAGCTTGAACTCAGGAGGCAGAGGTTGCAGTGAGCTGAGATTGTGCCACTGTACTCCAGCCTGGGTGACAGAGCGAGATACCGTGTCAATAAATAAATAAATAATGCCTGAATATTATCAATATTGCTGGATTTTGTAGAACCCACTAGTATCCTGTGGACAAAACAAACCACATATTTAACATTAAACTTCCTGGCAGAAGTCTCTATTTCATGAAACAGAAGGTTTATTATGTAGATGAAAAAATGTGACCATCCTAATGTTGATTCCTGGGTGTTCAGTAAATTTTGTTGGCCTCCCAGTTAATTATTGTGAAGAGTATGGAGTAGAATTTGTTTCAAATAGGATCATAGGCATCTTTAAGATGAAAAAAACCTTAGATAAAGGAAAACATTCTTAACTATTGTATTGGCTTTTTTCTCTCTCCCTCTCCCTTTCTCTCTCTCTCTCTCTCTCTCTCTCTCTCTCTCTCTCTCTCTTTATAGCAGAGACACAGACACTGGAGATCCTCCATGATAAAAATCTCACAGTAAGTAACCTTTTTTTGTGAGCTATGTTGTGCTCAACTTGGAAGGGAAAAGTATGGCTTTAGGGCCAGGCACAGTGGCTCACACCTGTAATCCCAGCACTTTGGGAGACCAGGTGAGTGGATTACCTGAGGTCAGGAGTTCAAGACTGACCAACATGGTGAAACCCTGTCTCAACCAAAAATGCAAAATTAGCTGGGTGTGGTGGAGCGCGCCTGTAGTCCCACCTTCTCAGGAGGCTGAGGCAGGAGAACTGCTTGAAGCTGGAAGGCAGAGGTTGCAGTGAGCTGAGATCACACATTGCACTCCAGCCTGAGCAGCAAGAGCAAAACTCTGTCTCAAAAAAAAAAAAAAAAAAGTATGGCTTTAGACTTCCTTCATGCCCACCCTTGGGGTAAAAAGCCTTAAGTTCCCTTAGCTTCAGATTCCTAGGCTATAACATGTCGATAAAGTTAGAACCTCATAGGCTTGTTGTAATGAAGGACTGAGGTGGTGCATGTAAAGTGCCTGACACACAGTAAAAGCTTGAAAAACCACAGAAGAAACATTAGCATTTTGTCCCTCTTATTCTTCAATTTCACAACTGTCTACCCTGTGGAAGCTTCAAAGATTCTTCATCTCCCTAGAATACCTTTCTTCTCGATTCCATTGCAGTCCTAATGGGAAAGATTATTTAAATTTACCTCTTTATATATGATAAGACACCAGTCAGAAATATTCAAAGCCAAGAGTTTATATATTTAACTATAAATAAAGCCATACCTTAATTAATCTTAATTTTACTGTCCCTGCTACCTTATTAAAATAAAATAAAAACCGGCAGGGCACAGTGGCTCACACCTGTAATCCCAGCACTTTGGGAGGTGAAGAAGGGTGGATCACCTGAGATCAGGAGTTCGAGACCAGCCTGGCCAACGTGGTGAAACCTCGTCTCTACTAAAAATACAAAAAATTTGCCTGGTGTGGTAGTGTGTGCCTGTAGTCCCAGCTCTTCCAGAGGCTGAGGCAGGAGAATCGCTTGAACCCAGGAGGTGGAGGCTGCAGTGAGCCAAGGCTGTGCCACTGCATGCCAGCCTGGGCAACAAGAGTGAAATTTTGTCTCAAAAAAAAAGAGTAAAAGAAATACCACTAGAAAGCAAACTTGTGGTAGTGACTTAAAAATTCTTTGAGGAGGCCGGGCACAGTGTCTAATGCCTGTAATCCCAGCACCTTAGGAGGAAGGATTGCTTGAGACCAGGAGTTTGAGGCCAGCCTGGGCCACATAGTGACACCCTGTCTCTACAAACAATTTAAAAAAATTGGCCAGGTGTGGTGTCACACATCTATAGTCTCAGCTACTTGGGAGGCTGAGGCAGGAGGATCGCTTGAGCCCAGGAAATCAAGGCTACAATGAGCTGTGATCATGCCACCGCACTCCATTCTAGGTGAGAGGGTGAGACCTTGTCTCAAAAAAAAAAAAATTGCTTGGGGACATATCCAGGAGTCTGCATTTGTTTGACTCAGTTTCTTTTTTTTTTTTATTTTAACTTTTTTCTCTTTTTTCTTTTTTTCCTGAGAATATTCTGAGTAATGACTCGGTTTCTTGCTTGTGTATTCACAACTGATGCTCAGCACCTTGTCTTTGCTCCGTCTCTCTTTGCAATCAAACAGTGCTTTTTAAGGACCTCTATATGCCCACAATGCTTAATGCCCAATACCTTGCATATAGGACTGTTATTGCAGGAGTAATGTGTATTTAATAAATGGAAGATTTAACTTCCTTAAATCATTGTTTTAAAAATGTTATAATTATGTGTGTGTGTGTGTGTGTGTGTGTGTGTGTGTGTGTGTGTGTGTTGTATAAATAGGGTCTCAATATGTTGCCCAGGCTGATCCTTAACTCCTGGCCTCAAGCGATCCTCTTATCTCAGCCTCTCAAAGTGCTTGGATTACAGGCATGAGCCTGGCCTATGATGACTGTTTATTGTTTGTTTACTTATTTATTTTTGAGATGGAGTTTCCCTCTTGTCACTCAGGCTGGAATGCAGTGGTGTGCTATTTGCCAGGCTGGAGTGCTATTTGCTGCTTATATTTTCTGTCACTTAGTTCTCCTGATAACTCTATAGGATTTTTAGTGGCAGAGCTGGGATTTGTTTTTGTTTTGTTTTGTTCAGGCCAGCATGCAGTGGTTCAAGCTATTCTCCCACCTCAGTCTCCCTAGTAGCTAGGATTACAGGCACGTGTCACCACGCCTCTCTAAGTTTCGTATTTTTAGTAGAGACGGGGTTTCACCATGTTGACCAGGCTGGTCTCAAACTCCTGATGTCAGATGATCCGCCCACCTTGGCCTCCCAAAGTGCTGGGATTACAGGTGTGAGCCAATATGCCTGACCTCAGAGCTGGGATTTGAATTCAGGACTGTTTGGCTATAAGGTCTTGGCTATTGAATCACTGTCTTTTTGTGAAAATTAGGGGTTTCACAGTAAGACACCAAGTGTGGACTACTATAAAACTCTGGGGAATATTAGGGGATCTTGAACGAACAAGACTTCACGCTAGGGGCAGGGAAAGGGTCTGTTTACTAAGAGCTCCTTCTCCTCCCACAACGCAGAAGGGCACATTTTGTTTCCTTGCTAACTCCAAAGGTTAAGCGAATCCCTTCCTTGGGTTGGCTTGAGTCTTGGCTACACGATGACAGATCAACGATGATTTCAAGGACCCTGCAATCCTGTGATGTTGTAAAAGGGATGGTCCAATTCACAAATCATGAGACTGAGTGCACAAGCGATTTCTAGCTATTTGCTGCTTACATCCTGTTTGTGTTTCTATAGCAACTGTCCACACTGGCCAATGAGTTACAGGATGCTGGAGCAACCATCAGAATAGGCGTCTACATCGGAGCAGGGGTCTCTGCTGGGCTGGCTCTGGCTCTTATCTTTGGCGCTTTAATTTTCAAATGTAAGTCTTTTTGTTTCTCTCTCCCTCTGATAACAAATTCTTAAATGGGAACCATTAAAAGCCTAGATAGAAATGCAAATTCATGTTTATACTTAAAGATGATTAGACTAAAAACCCTTTTGTCCATCCTAACTAACAATAATGGCTAATTTTTATTTACTATTTACTATGTGTCAGGTAGGCACTGGGTTAAATGTTTTACATACATTTTATCATCATTACTGTCTTACGAGATAAGGAGTAGTGCCATCCCCATTTTACAGTGCAGGGAAGCCAAGCTTAGAGTAAGCTGCCTTCTCAAGGTTCCAACATCAGTACCTGGCAGAACTGGAATTCAAATCCAGGCAGGCTGATTGCAGTACCTGTTCCCTTATTTTTGGTTAAGAAAACTAATCTCTTTAACTCATTAATATGTCTAGGTTTGTTAGGGAACACGGCAACAAAAAGACACTTCCTGATGTGCACTTGTCTGTTACTGGTTTCTCAGGCATAGCTCTTTGGGAGTAGATTTCAAGTCTCTTTAACACTGGGTCATGATTGGTGTTACAGAATGTTTTCCTCCATCATGGTACTTAGCACATAGCTTTTTTTTTTAAAGTTACTTATCCTTTAAAACAGGAAACAAAACAAAACAAAAAACAGGCCAGCCTCGGTATCTCACACCTGTAATCTCAGCACTTTGGGAGGCTGAGGCGGGTGGATCATCTGAGGTCAGGAATTCGAGACCAGCTTGGCCAACATGATGAGACTCCCCATTTCTACTAAAATTACAATATTGGCCAGGCATGGTAGCTCATGCCTGTAATCCCAGCTACTCCGGAGGCTGAGGCAGGAGAATCACTTGAACCTGGGAGGTGTAGGTTGCAGTGAGCCAAGATCACGCCATTGCACTCCAGCCTGGGCAACAAGAGCAAAACTCTGTCTCAAAAACAAAACAAAACAAACAAATGAAAAAGACTAAAGGGTGTTTCTAAGATATTTGGGACTTCCAGGGCTAAAACTGGAACAGTCCAAGAAAAACAGGGATGAGCTGATCACCCCACTAACTGTAGACTGAGGCTGCCAAGTGCTTTATGTGCATTAAATTCTCATAACTATCCTATGAGATAGGTACTAATATGTTTCTAATGGAGAATCAGCGTGCTAAAAGGTTAAGTCACTTGTCTGCATTTATACAGTTGATTGATAGATACAGGATTTGAACTCAGGGCTCTCCTGCTCCTCACCATTATGGTTTCAGCCATTATTGTTAAATGGATTATTCAGAAAAAGAAACTACCCCACCCACACTTACCTGGATTTATTCAGAGATAGCCATGGATTTTTTAAATTGATCACATGAATATATATATATATATACACACACACACATATATATATATTATTGAGACAGAGTCTTATTCTGTGACCCAGGTGCTGGAGTACAGTGGTGCAATCTTGGCTTACTGCAGCCTCTGCCTCCTGGGTTCAAGCAATTCTTGTGCCTCAGCTCCTGAGTAACTGTAATTACAGGCATGGGCCACCACATACGGCTAGGTTTTGTTTGTTTTTTTGTTAGAGATGGGTTTTGCCATGTTGCCTAGGTTGGTCTCAAACTCCTGAGCTCAAGCGATCCTCCTACTTCAGCTTCCCAAAGGGCTGGGATGATAGGCATGATGAATATATACATATTTAAAAATAGAGATGGGGTCTTGCTATGTTGTCCAGGCTGGCCTGGAACTCCTGGCCTCAAGAAATCCTCCCACCTCAGCCTGCTAAAATGCTGGGATTATAGGCATGAGCCATTGCGCCTGGCCTCCCATAAGTATTTTGAAAACAGCCTAGGGAATGTTAAGGAGCAATGATAACATCCACTACTTTTTTGAGTTCTGCCAAGGCTCAAAGTAAAACTTTGAGCTTTACTATTATATATATTAGAGACTACTTTATATATATATTAGGGACCATGATTTATATATATTAGTAATTATTCTAATTTGTATAAAGAGTAACGGAGCATGGAGTAAATCTGATGCTTTGTACACATACATTTATGCCACTCCAAAAAACATGGTGACTGAGAAGAACGGATAAGAAAGTCCTATTTAGTTTCCAATCTTTTCCCTGGAAATTGCTGGAGAAAATATGAATATCAGGGTGACAGCTTTTTAAGTCATGAACTCACAAAAACAAATCGGCACCCAATAATGCCCCACAATCTTCCGTCTTTCTTGTATGCTCTCTTAGATGACCATCCATACTTCACTGCTGCTCAAACCTTCTTTGCCCCTCTCCCTAACTGAGGAAATACCAAAGGGCTGTTTCATCTCCATTGCCTAGGCCCAAGACTTCATCCTTCTTTTTATCCCTTTCTTTTGAGTCATCTCTATCCTTTTCTATTTATGGTCTAGTCCATGCATTCCTCTCCAGCTGCTCCCATGTCTCAACTCTTTATCACAGCTGTATTTTTCAAAGTAGTTCCCAACTTTTTATCCGTCTGCACTCCTTGATCAACCATCATCTAGTTTCTACTCCAAAGCACCATGAAAATGATCAAGGTCACACCAATGACCTTCATTTTTCTAAATTAAATATTGATACCGTTATCTTTTTTTTTTTTTCTTGAGATGGAGTTTCACTCTTGTTGCCTAGGCTGAAGTACAATGATGCAATCTTGGCTCACTGCAACCTTCGCCTCCCAGGTTCAAGTAATTCTCCAGCCTCAGCCTCCTGAATAGCTGAGATTACAGGCAAGCACCACCAAAAATAGCTAATTTTTGTATTTTTAGTAGAAACAGTGTTTCACCATGTTCACTAGGCTGGTCTCAAACTCTTGACTTCAGGTTATCCTCCCGCCTTGGCCTCCCAAAGAGCTAGGATTACAGGCATGAGCCACTGTGCCTGGCCTGATACCTTTATCTTTATTATAGTCAACCTTTTAAGTTGATCACTTATTCTAGAAAGTCTTCCTTCTATTGGCTTCTAAAATGACATTCTCCTATTTGATTGGCCCTTGCTTTTCAGTGCTTCTTTTGCCTGATCCTTAGATGTTGAGATTTCTTAGGGCTGGGTATGGTGGTGCACGCCTGTAGTCCCAGCTACTCAAGAGTCTGAGGCAGAAGGATCACTTGAGCCCAAGAGTTTGATGCTGTGAACTATGATCTTGCCACTGCATTCCGGCCTGGGTGACACAGAGAGACTGTCTCAAAGAAAAACATCAAAAAAGATTCCTACAGTCTTTCTCCAAAATATATCTAAAGTCTTTTCATTATTCTGCATCTCTTTTGGCCATTATCTTACTCCAAGACACCATTTTCTCTACTTAATTTATCTTCTCATTTCTTTATTCCTCCTTCAAATCCAATATTAAAACCCAAATCAATGTCTGGGCACAATGGCTCATGCCTATAATCCTAACACTTTGGGAGGCCAAGACAGGAGAGTCACTTGAGGTCAGGAGTTTGAGACCAGTCTGGGCAACATATTGAGATTCTTAAAAAAAAAAAAAAAAAAAAGTAAAAATAATTAAAATAATTTTTTTTGAGACAGTCTGACTCTGTTGCCCAGGCTGGAGTGCAGTGGTACAATCATGGCTCGCTGCAACCTCTGCCTCCCGAGTTCAAGCAGTCCTCCTGGCTCAGCCTCCAAGTAGTCGGAACCACAGGCACATGCCGCCACACCACGCTAATTTTTGTATTTTTAGTAGAAGTGGGGTTTTGCCATATTTCCCAAGCTGGTCTTGAACTCCCGAGCTCAAGAAATCCGCCTGCCTTGGCCTCCCAAAGTGCTGGGATTATAGGCATGAGCCACTGTGTCTGGCCCAAAAAGATTTTTAAAAATTATCCAGCAGGCCAGGCTTGGTGGCTCACGTCTGTAATCCCAGCACTTTGGGAGGCCAAAGTGGACAGATCTTGAGGTCAGGAGATCAAGACCATCCTGGCCAACATTGGTGAAACACTGTCTCTACTAAAAATACCCCAAAAATTAGCTGGGCATGGTGGCACACACCTGTCGTCCTAACTACTCGGGAGGCTGGGGCAGGAGAATTGCTTGAACCCAGGAGGCGGAGGTTGCAGTGAGCCGAGATCATGCCACTGCACTCCAGCCTGGAGACAAAATGAGACTCCGTCTCAAAAAAAAAAAAAATTATTCAGCTGTGCTGGTGTGCACCTATAGATCTAGCTACTCAGGAAGCTGAGATGGGTAGATCCATTGAGCCCAGGAGTTCAAGGTTGTAATCAGATATGATCTTGCCACTGCATTCCAGCCTGGCCAACAGAGCAAGAATGTGTCTCAAAAAAAAAAAAAAAAAAAGAAAAGAAAAATTTTAAGTTTCAGATTTTTGAAACTGCATCCCCAGAAGACACCTTGAAAGATATCATGAAAGACCTTGATCCACAGGTACCCAGTGAGCCACACCTGGACTGCTGACCACAGCACAGAAATGATGAGACAACAAATACTGTTTTTAGCTGATAAAAAGAAACCCCAAACAGATAAGGATCATATCTCTGTCCTTCAAGGACATATAAGATTTTCTACAGGTCCCAGAATAAAATCGAAACTCCTGATTATGGCTGGAAAGATCTTACTGCACCTAGCCTCAGATTACCTTTCAGACCCAATCTTGGGTCAGTCCCTTAGTCCAGCCATGTTTTCCGTTTCAGACACTCACCAAGATCTTTACCAGGGGCTCTCTCATCCTGGAATGCTCCTTCTGCTTTTTACTTGGCTAACTCATTTCAGAAATGAGCTTAAAGGTCATCTTTGGGGGTTTTTCCCTGACCAACCTCTGTATTACCTGTTTCAGTATGATGTTGGTTTCCTTTATAATACATCATAATTTGAAATTATTTTTTCCTATTTACTGTTTCCTTTTTTTTTTTTTTGAGTCAGAGTCTTGCTCTGTCACCCAGGCTGGTGTGCAGTGGCACGATCTCGACTCACTGCTACCTCCGCCTCCCGGGCTCAAGCGATTCTCCTGCCTCTGTCTCCTGAGTAGCTGGGATTAAAGGCATGTGTGGCAACACGCTCAGCTAAATTTGTATTTTTAGTAGAGACAGGGTTTCTCCATGTTGCTTAGGCTGGTCTCAGATCGGGAGTACTGTTTTCTTTTATTTCTTTGGTCTCCTAAGGGAGAACGCAAGTCATGAAATTATGGCTGACAATCCACTTTTATGTTCTTGTGTTCCTTGTGCCTAGCAAACTGCCAGACACATAGTAGAGGCCTCACCATATTTGTTAAATAAGAAAAAATGCATCTTTATTATTATTTTCTAGCACAGTCCATATAATCATCTAAGGCACACACTGAGAGTTTCATTTAATTCAATCTAAGGTGAGACCAGATTTCCCTAAACAATGCATGCCTCCGGTGAGCCTATTTGATTGCTTGTCCCACTTATTTTATGAAGGCATTTTTATTGACTTTTCTTTCCCCGTTACCTAGGGTATTCTCATAGCAAGGCGAAGTTACAGAATTTAAGGTAAGAATAATGGAATGGAGTTGGGGAAAGGGGACAATCTTGGAGGTCCCTACTCTAATATGTCTGATGTTTATCTGAGGAGTCCTGCCCTGGGGCTTTGGGATCTGAGCTTATACTTCCTTTTTTCTCTAGGTCTAATTATGAAGTGAAAATATAACATGCTGCTGTGTTTACTTCCTAATACCTTTAGCTTCTTTAGTTCTAAAGTTAAGGTATAGAATTTATCTCCCTAATAATACAACATGCTTATTTATCTCGATATTAATGGTTTTTTCAGTGAACTGAACCTTCAGCGGATTGAGATCTTATTATATCCAGGGTCTGGGCTGGACTTTGGCATTACAGAAGTGAGCAGGAAACCCAGCATCTGTTCTCAGCATTTCTGTAAACCAGCCTAGGCATTTTCAGCTTCGGTTTCCTATTAGAATCACCCAGGCACTGAAGTATACTAATGCAGGGCCAACCCCAGAGGAACTGAATCAGAATCTCTGGGGATGAGGCCTAAGCACAGGTATTGTTTTAAAAGCTCTCCAGGTGATTCTAGTGAACAATCAGGGCTGAGAACTCCTAGTCTATTATAGACTCCTGGCTTAACCTTAATTACTGAGTACACACACACACACACACACACACACACACACACACACACACATTTCAAATAGATATAGCTTACAGAACTTACTAGCTTTTAGACTTTTTTTTTTTAATAGAGATGGGGTTTCACTATGTTGGCCAGGATCGTCTCGATCTCTTGACCTGGTGATCCGCCTGCCTCGGCCTCCCAAAGTGCTGGGATTACAGGCGTGAGCCACCGTGCCTGGCCTAGCTTTTAGACTTTTAGTGATATTTGGCACATGAATGGAATGCAGTACGTTTGGATTTGAAAAACGACTCTGGGCTAGGTGCTGTGGTTTACACTTAATCCCAGCACTTCGGGAGGCTGAGGTGGTAGGATCACATGAGCCCAGGAGTTTAAGACCAGCATGGACAACCTGAGACCTCTTCTCTCTCTCTCTCTCTCTCTCTTTTTTTTTTTTTTTTTTTTTTTGAGATGGAGTCTCACTCTGTAGCCCAGGCTGTAGTACAGTGGCGTGATCTCGGCTCACTGCAACCTCCGCCTCCCAGGTTCAAGTGATTCTCCTGTCTCAGCCTCCCAAGTAGCTGGGATTACAGGCATGCATCACCACACTTGGCTAATTTTTGTATTTTTAGTAGAGATGGGGATGGAGTTTCACCATGTTGGCCAGGATGGTCTCCATCTCTTGACTTTGTGATCTGCCCGCCTCATTCTCCCAAAGTGCTGGGATTACATGTGTGAGCCACTGCGCCCAGCCCAAAATCTAAAACTTTCTGAGTGCTGACATGATACTAAAAAGAAATGCTCATTGGAGCATTTTGCATTTTGGATTTTTGAATTAGGGATGCTCAGCTCGTAAGTATATATAATGAAAATATTCCAAAATCTGACATCTGAAACACTTCTTGGCAAGGCCTGATGGTTAACTCCTGTAATCCCAGCACTTTGGGAGGCTGCAGTGGGTGGATCACCTGAGGTCAGAGTTCAAGGCCAGCCTGGCCAACATGGTAAAACCCCATCTCTACTAAACATAGAAAAATTGACCAGGCGTGGTGGTGTATGCCTGTAATCCCAGCTACTTGGGAGGTTGAGGCAGGAGAATTGCTTGAACCGGGGAGGCAGAGGTTGCAGTAAGCTGAGATGGCACCACTGTACTCCAGCCTGAGTGACAGAGTGAGACACTCTCTCAACAACAACAACAAAAAAAGAAACACCTCTGGTCATGAGCATTTCACATAAGGAAGAATCAACCTGTACATGGAATAATAGTACTCTTCATCTAAACTCCTCATTTGACATTTTGACACTTTTGTTTTACCTATTTCTCTATATGCATAATTCTTTTCTGAACCATTTTTAAGAATGTTGAAGATTTTTTTTTTTTTTTTTTTTTTTTTGAGATGGCCCAGGCTGGAGTGCAATGTCGCAATCTCAGCTCACTGCAACCTCTGCCTCCTGGTCTTAAGCAATTCTTCTGCCTCAGCCTCCTGAGTAGCTGGGATTACAGGCATGTGCCACCACACCTGGCTGATTTTTTGTATTTTCAGTAGAGATGGGATTTCGTCATATTGGCCAGGCTGGTCTCAAACTCCTGACCTGGTGATCTGCCTGCCTCAGCCTCCCAAAGTGCTGGGATTACAGGCGTGAGTCACTGTGCCCGGCCCATTTTTTAAAAATCTAAATAATGTGTACATAATGACATCTTGACACTTCACGTAAACTTCAGCCTGCAACTCCTAGAAATAAAGATATTCTTTCAGATATCACAATGCTGTTATTATACCTAAGAAAATTAAAATTAATTGAAATTTTCTCAATTGCTTCCCCATAGTATTTTATTGCTATTTCTTGGCTTTTCCCCTTGTTCAGCATCTGATCAACGGTCATGCACTGTATTTAGTTGCTGTCTCTCTGGGAAAGCTTAGTCTCTTAACTCTATTCCATGTTACCTGGGAAATGCTTAACTCAACTGTGACACTTTATTTCCACAGCCTCATCACTTTGGCCAACCTCTCTCCCTCAGGGTTGGCAAATGCAGCAGCAGAGGGGATTCGCTCAGAAGAGAATATCTATACCATTGAGGAGAACGTATATGAAATGGAGGAGCCCAGTGAGTATTACTGCTCTGTCAGCAGCGGACAGCAACCCTCACAGCCCTTGGGTTGCAGCTTTGCAATGCCGTAGATCCAACCATTTTATTTTTGAGCTTGGTATTGCCTTTTTCAAAAACTATAAGCTGTGTCAGCTGACTGGTTTTAGAGGTTCTGTCCACTGCCACGGAGCAGAGTTTTTCCATTTTCAGAAAATGACTCACATGGGAATTCAACTGTGACCTGCACTGAATTTAAACAGGCATGTCATTATCTCTGTATCTAAGCCAACAGAGTTACCCAACTCGGAGACTGTTAATCATGGATGTGAGAGCTCAAACAGGCTTTTATATACACTAGGAATTATTGACATGGAGTCTCCGGAGCTCCAGGAAATTCGGGTACATCATATATCCACCAAACTTCAGATAAACTAGGGAAAACTGGGTGCTGAGATGAATGCATACCTTTTTTGGCACAGAAAGTCTAAAGGGGCCACTGATTTTCGAAGAGATCTGGGATCCTTTTTTTTGAGACAAAGTCTTGATCTGTCACCCAGGCTGAAGTGCAGCAGCATGATCTCAGCTCACTGCAGCCTCCACCTCCCAGGTCAACCGATTCTCCTGCCTCAGCCTCCCGAGTAGCTGGGACTACAGGTGTGCACCACCGCACCCAGCTAATATTTGTATTTTAGGTAGAAACCAGGTTCTGCCATGTCGGTCAGGCTGGTCTCGAACTGCTGACCTCATGATCTGCCTTTGAAAACTTTTTTTTTTTTTTTTGGCTGGGCGTAGTGGCTCACACCTGTAATCCAAGCACTTTGGAGGCCAAGGCGGGTGGATCACCTAAGGTCGAGAGTTCAAGACCAGCCTGACCAATATGGTGCAAACTCCATCTTAAAAAAAAAAATTTTTTTTTTTTTGAGATGGAGTCTCACTCTGTTGCCCAGGCTGCAGTGCAGTGGCATGGTCTCGGCTCACTGCAACCTCTGCCTCCTGGGTTCAAGTGATTCTCCTGCCTCAGCCTCCCAAAGCACTGGGATTACAGGCATGAGCCACCGCACCTGGCCAGTGATCCTTAAATGATGAAGAGATGACTGGACCGGGTCTGCCTTGATCTTGAAGATTCCCTCAGAATGTTGAGCTTTAGGCTTCTTTGAGCATTACCTGTCCAACTGTAAGTGCCAGCACACAGCTCTCTTTTGCCTCTCTTACGAAGACTGACCTGTGTGCCTGAGATGTGGCAGGAGCTCCCAGAGAAAAAGGAACTGCGTTCAATCTGTGCATATTGCCACATTTTGCTTGTGGTGTACTAGAAAGAAAATATCTCTGACCAACTTCTCTATTCATGGACCAAACTGAAGCTGTATTTTTCATAGAAGAAGAAGCAGTGACTGGGACACAAATTCTGTTTCCTGCTGGAAAGAAGGCAAAGGTTTTCAGAAATCTGTATTGCCAGCATTAGATCCTTACATGGAAAGTAATCCCTAAACTTCAATTTCAAGGTGGTGAAGACTTGGTCTGTCTTGCTTATTGTTGCCCCCAGTGCCTGGCACAACTCTGACACACAATTGAAACTTACTAAATTATTTTTTTACCCTTTTTTTTGTTTGGTTTTTGAGACAGAATCTCACTCTGTTGCCCAGGCTGCAGTGCAGTGGCCTGATCTAGGCTCACTGTGGCCTTGATGTCCTGGGCACAATTTATCCTTCCACTTCAGCCTCCCCAGGAGCTGGGACTATAGGCATGCACCACCGTGCCAGGCTAAGTTGTATGTTTTTAGTCGAGATAAGGTTTCACCATGTTGGCCAGGCTGGTCTCAAACTCCTGGATTCAAGCGATCCCCCCTGCCTTGACCTCCCAAAGTGCTGGAATTTTAGGTGTGAGCCACCATACCTAGCCTAAATATTTTTTGGAGCGAAAAAAATAATAAGCGGAAAGGTAGCTTCCTGGAAGACTTTTGTTACAGAGCTCAGATAAGAGTGTGACTCTGCAAGTTCACTTCTTGGAGAACTCACACATACCTGGAAGCTCCTGTATTTACTCTTATCCAGGCCACAGTGGCCTGTGTTTCTCAACATCATTCAGCTCAGGCCTTTGCTGGTGTCTTACTCTTTTGTCTATTTCCCTCTCTTCTGAGCCATCCTCAGCACATAGGAATGAATTAACAATAGGGACCTATCACCACCTAAAAACTGCTCCTCCTCAGGTGATGACCAAGCTGTGACAGTGCTGCATGTAGAAGATGCTGGCCAACAAGGCTTTGGCAGCCTGTCTGATTCTAGAAGTCTTTCTGACAGTCTTGTGTGAATGAGAGTGTTTGGGCTGCATCTAGATAGTTTTGGGAGGCACTGGCATTCTACAGGGAGGTATGTAAGGGAGATCATTTAGCAAAATTAATTATAGGCAGCAGCTCCCATACAGGCTAAAAAAATTAATCTTAAGTGTCTTTTTAAAATTTTTTTGAGACAGTCTCACTCTGTCACCCAGGCTAGAGTGCAGTGGCTCGATCTTGGCTCATTGCAACCTCTGCCTCCTCAGTTCAAGCGATTCTCCTGCTTCAGCCTCCCAAGTAGCTATGATTACAGGTGGACATCACCACACCCAGATGATTTTTTGTATTTTTAGTAGAGATGGGGTTTCGCCATGTTGGCCAGGCTGGTCTCGAGCTCCTGACCTCATGTGACCCACCCGCCTCAGCCTCCCAAAGTGCTGGGATTACAGGCGTGAGCTATCACACCCAGCCCATAAGTGTCTTAAAGTCATGAAATTCTAGTAAGAAGAAACTTCAGGACACATTTGAAGCAGATCAATCGTCCTCATCAAAAGAGATTCTTATCCTACCAAAATCTTTAAACAAAGGTAAATGTACAAGGCTGATCATTGCAATAGTATTTGTGGAGATTTTTTACAATCAATAAGGGAATGATTTATTATAGTGTTATGCCAATACACAGCTGCAAGTAAAAAGAATCATGACTAAAACAGCAAAAGCATTGGCAACAAAAGCCAAAATAGACAAATGGGACCTAATCGAACTCCACAGCTTCTGCATGGCAAAAGAAACAGTCATTAGAGTGAATCGCCAACCAACAGAATGGGAAAAAAATTTTGCAGTCTACCCATCTGACAAAGGGCTGATATCCAGAATTTACAAAGAACTAAAACAGATTTGCAAGAAAAAAAACAAGCCCATTCAAAAGTGGGCAAAGGATATGAACAGACACTTTACAAAAGAAGACATACATGAGGCCAACAAACATGAAAAAATGCTCATCATCACTGGTCATTAGAGAAATGCAAATCAAAATCACATTGAGATATCATCTCACGCCAGTTAGAATGACGATCATTAAAAAATCTGGAGACAACAGACGCTGGAGAGGGTGTGGAAGAATAGGAACACTTTTATACTGTTGGTGGGAGTGTAAATTATTTCAACCATTGTGGAGAACAGTGTGGCGATTCCTCAAGAACATAGAAATAGAAATTCCATTTGACCCAGCAATCCCATTACTGGGTATATATCCAAAGGATTATAAATCGTTCTACTATAAGGACACATGCACACAAATGTTCATTGCAGCACAGTTTACAATAGCAAAAACCTGGAACCAACCCAAATGCCCATCGATGATAGACCGGACGGGGAAAATGTGACACATATACACCATGGGATATTATACAGCCATCAAAAACGATGAGTTTGTGTCCTTTGTAGGGACATAGATGAACCTGGAAACCATCATTCTAAGCAAACTGACACAAAAACAGAAAATCAAACACTGCATGTTCTCACTCATAAGCAGGTGTTGAACAATGAGAACACATGGACACAGGGAGGGGAGCACTACACACTGGAGTCTGTTGGGGGGAAACAGGGGAGGGACAGCAGGGGGTGGGGAGTTGGGGAGAGATAGCATGGGGAGAAATGCCTGATATAGGTGATGGAGAGGAAGGCAGCAAATCACACTGCCATGGGTGTACCTATGCAACAATCTTGCATGTTCTTCACATGTACCCCAAAACCTAAAATGCAATAAAAAAATTAGGCGATTTTATCATTAAGCTTTTTTGCTAATTCAACAAATACTTATTAAGTGTTTACTGTGTGCCAGATACTTTCTTTTGTGCTGGGATCATAGAAGAGGACCAAATAGACACATCCCTGGCTCCATGGAACTCCTCTAGTTGATCTGACAGCAAGGAGGATTCATGTCCTTTTGTTTACTCAGTGAAAAAAAAAATGTGTGTGTGTGTGTGTGTGTGTGTGTACTTTTTCTTTTTCTTTTTTTTTTTTTTTTTTTGAGACAGAGTCTCACTCTGTTGCTCAGGCTGGAGTGCAGTGGCACAATCTTGGCTCACTGCAGCCTCTGGCTCCAGGGTTTAAGCACTTCTCCTGCCCAGATACTCACTGGAGTAGCTGGAATTACAGGCATGCACCACCATGCCGGGCTAATTTTTGTATTTTTAATAGAGACAGGGTTTCACCATGTTGGTCAGGCTGGTCTTGAGCTCCTGGCCTCAAGTGATCTGCCCTCCTTGGCCTCCTGAAGTGCTATGATTACAGGTGTGAGCCACCATGCCCAGCCCATTCAGTGAATATTTATTGGCACCTACTTCATGCCAAACACTATTCTAGTCTCCAGAAATACAGCAATGAATGAAGTGGTCAAAATCCTTGCTGTCATGGAGCTTACATTACTTATCAGAGGAGAATGCTATGTAGTTAAGTTCAAAGGAGGTGGGGGAAAGGGTTCCATAATAGTTTATACAACTGATGAATTTTTTTGCCTTTAAAATATGGAAGAATATACCCAAATGAATATGGTTACTGATGGAGACAAAGGGTGAAGACTCACTTTTTCCTTTTTCATGTTTCTGCTATAGTTTATTTTCTCCATTTTGTTTTGTAATAAAAAGTAAATTCAAGCATTATAGCAGTGTTTTTCTGTCTGCCCTCCTCATCAAAGAAATAAATGAAGACAAGGTCAAGGTCAAGATTGAGGGCAGTAGTAGAG